AGTGTTTGTGGCTCTGCGGTGTGTGAGTGTAACTGTAACCAAGCAGGGTCCTGTGGGGTCTTCCTGAGACAGACCTTCCCCCCACCAGCCCCAACCCATGTCCTCCACCTGCCTCTTGTTTGTAGCAAAGCTTTCGTCTCCCAGGCCTCCCCTGAGGCTCAGAAGGCTGGCTTAAGAGTAATGGTTAGGAAACATGAAGATGTAAAAACAAAGACTAGCTGTTGTGCTGGGAAACTGGTAACAGTTTAGATGACAGACCAGCCACAGGGCAGAGGCACAGAACTCCCAGTTCCCTGAAGACACAGATAAAGGCCTGACACACATTCCTAAGTTCTTTTTACAGGAAGCCGACCCCTGCCAGATGAAGACTGCTGAGTCAAGCAGACGTTCCTTTCCCACCAACACTTGTCCCCCTAGTATTGGCCTTTTGAGCGGTGAGCAGCGGAACTTGGGTTCAGTACTGGCCTCATCCTCTTCCGTAACCACGTGAGTGGTCTTTGTGTCTGTGTGTCTCTGTGTTACTGACAAGAACTGGCACTGACCAGGGCTTCCCGTGGGTCAGGCCCTATGCCGGCACTCCACATGCATCTCCTCGTACAACGCCATGGGGTAGGTTTTATTGTCCCCATTTCACAGAGGTTGAGACTGAGGCTCAGGGAGGTTAAGTGACAAGTGTAGAGCTCAGAACAGACCCCCCCCCCCCAAGATGTGCTACTTTGGCATGTGGGTTATTTTGAGCTAAAGGCAGTAGAGAGCCTGTGGGCTCGAGAGAAACTACTGCTCCTCCCTTAACTAACTACAGGAATTTAAATTGGGGATTTTTCCCAGAGAAAGAGTTATTCCCAGAGGTAAATTTTATCTAAGTGGCACCATCTATATGGCAGGACAAACACCTAATTACCAAACATCTGCTCATCTTCTTGTGAAACCGTACCTCATAGAGTTGATGAAAGCTGATGGCTAGCTAAGAGGAATTCTTGAGCTTGTCTTTCAGAGCGACAGACAGGGGAACAGCTTGTAAAAACCCCTCTGCTTGTAAGCTGCCTTCCCTGGCTAAGCTTGCTTTAGTTATTTTTTCTGTCTTTCCCTTTTGTCCTCTTTAATTGCATACCTTCCCAGCTTCATGTAACCCGACTGTCTTGGAGCAAGTTCTTGTCCAGTGCAAGCCAGCTAAGGCTGGTTGGGACCACCAACCCTAAAACTGGGCCTGCAGAGGTGTGTGTTGAATGGCCTTTTGACGTCAGAGGACTGGAAAACTTTACCCTCAGATCACGCTAAGTGCCTGTATATTTGAATATGCAGAAACATGTAACCCAGATACACCTGTGCAGAACACCAGTTCCCTCACGTTTCTCCTGCCTCCAATCACCTTTCCCCGTGCCAAGCCCACCTGCTTGTTCCATAACTATCCCAAGCCCCTCGCCTTGGGGGAGGCGGATCTGAGGCTTGTTTTCCCGTCTCCTCAATTGCCTTCCTGTGAACAAACTCTTCCTCTGCCGCACATCTTGGCATCTCAGGGTTTGGTCTGCGGTGTGTTGGGTAAACAGACCTGCTTTGGTAACACTTATCGTCCCGTGAACGAGCCTCCTGCACTTGGAAGCCCCAGGCCCCTATCCCACTCCTTAGCTCAGGATGGCGTAAGTACCTCATTTTACCTTTCTGTCTCTGACACTCTGATGTATGTGAGACTCCCATACGTACGAAATTAGATTTCCTCCTGTTCATCTGCCTTGTTTCAATTTAATTCTTAAACAAGCCAGAAGAACCTAGTAGGGTAGAGGAAAGTCTTCTTCCTCCCCAGCACCAGCCAAAAGTTACACAACTTTTGTGAAAGAGTGGGGTTTGAACCCAGACCAGGTGGGAGTGGGGGGTAGGAGGATGGGTGGAGGAGGAGGCAGGGAAGTGTGTTTTGTTTTTGGTTTTTTGCCTTTCCTCTCCAGCTGAATGAGGTTCTCCTGCTCTACGAGTCTGGGTAGAAATGCTAGCGTGTCACAAGCAGGGTACAGGTGGGGAAGGATATTGCTCCCCTTAGCCCTCAACCTGGGCCTTGGGTAACTGGAGCAGCCAGGCTGGTGGCCCCTGGAGGACCCTGCTGGGGACCCCCAAGGGGCACAGCCACAGGTGGAGAGCAGGATGAGAGAGACCCAGCAAATGAGGCCAGGAGTCCAGGAGGAGCGTGGCTCCAAAAGGCTGTCTGGAACCTCTGTCTTCCTTCTATAGTGAACACGGCTCCCTGTTTGTAGCCCATGTGCCCTTTTGGTGGTGCCCAAATTGGCTTCAGGTGTCTGCTCTAACCACATGTACACTCTCTGCAAAATACGTGGAATAAAACAGCTTGATTGGATTCTAAACCCAGCATTGTCATTATCACTAGAATTTTGATTACAGTTTATTTTTTAATTAATTAATTACTTTTTGGCTGCATTGGGTCTTTGTTGGTGCGTGCCGGCTTTCTTTTTAGTTGCGGCGAGCGGGGGCTACTCTTTGTTGCGGTGCGTAGGCCTCTCATTAAGGTGGCTTCTCTTGTTGCAGAGCACGGGCTCTAGGCGCCTGGGCTTCAGTAGTTGTGGCATGAGGGCTCAGTAGTTGTGGCTCGTGGGCTCTAGAGCACAGGCTCAGTAGTTGTGGCACACGGGCTTAGTTGTTCCGCGGCATGTGGGATCTTCCTGGACCAGGGCTCGAACCCATGTCCCCTGCATTGGCAGGCAGATTCTTGACCACAGTGCCACCAAGGCAGTCCCTATAATGATGTCTATACCCATCTCTGTCTCTCTAGTAGACAGTGAGCTCCTTGATGGTGGGGCATATCATCTGTGTATCCTCTCTTCCCTACTCCCTGGCATAGTGCGTTCTATGCAGTAGGCACCTATAAGTGCTCAGTATAAGAAGGCAAGAGTATAGATTGCAGTCAGTGGCTTTTCACTGGTCCAGATGCTGCTTCCTTGCAGCCCAAGGTAGGGGCCCTGAGCCTCCTTTCCCTGGGCTGGAGTTCACCCCTGCTGACTGGACCATGTCCAAGGTCTCCCTCCTCCCTTCCTCCACTTCCCCCAATCCCTGCTAACACTTTGCCTAAATTTTTCCCCACCCCAGTACTATTTCAGAATTTGCATGGCCTGACCACAGCAGGATGGGAGGGGAAATGCTGAGCTGCAGGGATTGTCCATCCTACAAGGTCCCTTGGCAAACACCCAGGAGAACAGAGATTGCCCGATATGGAGGGGGCTGGGCTCCAGAAGGGCATCCAGGGGCCCCTGTGCTGCCCCCATGCCCTGAGGACCAGAAAAGCATGGGGTGAACCCAAGTCTGTGCCCACCAAGCACAATAACAGGATGTGTGTGTGTGTGGGGGGGGTGGTGAGTGAGTCATCAGGGAGGGGCAGAGACCCAGAGGAGCTCACAGGCTAGATCTCCCCCAAAGCTTCCGGTTTGGGCTGCTAGAGCTTGAGTGGCAGTTCTTCCAGCAAGATTTAACCCTGGTGTTTCAAGGGTCTTCATCCCTGAGTCAGACCCCACACCCACACTTGGCCCAGAGGTTCTTTTTTTTTTTTTTTTTTTCGGTACGCGGGCCTCTCACTGTTGTGGCCTCTCCCGTTGTGGAGCACAGGCTCCGGACGCGCAGGCTCAGCGGCCATGGCCCACGGGCCCAGCTTCTCCGCGGCATGTGAGATCCTTCTGGACCAGGACACGAACCCGTGTCCCCTGCATCGGCAGGCGGACTCTCAACCACTGCGCCACCAGGGAAGCCCGGCCCAGAGATTCTTAAACACTGGAATCTGCAGAGCCACCTGGGGTTCCTGTTCAGTGTGGAGATGTCTAGGGCTGCCTAGATACCTAATTTGCACCCTGATTTGCAAATCTGGTCCATACACTGTATCCCTGGGGAAATCCTTACCAGGATGCCAGCTTCTTGCTGAGGGCAGTGGGTAGACACCCCTCAAATGCCTGGTGAATGAGGCAGCCTTAGAAAAGGAGGCTAAGCTCAGGGGTCAGGCTGCAGGTGGTGGGAGGGTGGTGAGTAGAGGGATGAGGGAGGAAGCATCTGCTAGCTGGCGGTGAGCAGAAGGCTGGGCTGACAATGCAACTGCATCTTAAAGGGCTGCTCAAACTTAGAGGGCTAGGAGTAGAATTGCCGGGACTTGGTAAGATGGGAGCTGGAAGGGTCAGCCCCCTTGACATTCAAAAACAGAAAAATCCCCTTGCCAGGAATATATAAAGCTATTCATCAGCGGTAGTCAGCAAGAGGCACTAATTAGTACCTTTAAGAGGAACTCAGCAAGCAGGGCTTGCTGAGCTCGCTCAGAGAACCTTGCTGGAGGCTGCAGGAAACCCAACCAGAGCACTGAAAACAAACACACACACCAACAGTCTAGAGGGGAGACTAACGTAGTAGCTCAGAGCAGACTCCAGAGCTGACGTCCTGGGATAAAGTTCCAGCTCTTACATGGGTTACCTCAGGCATTTTATGCCTCAGTTTTCTCCTCGAAAAAATGGGACTAATAATCATCCTACTTCATTAGATTATCATAAAGATTAAATGAATTCTATATGGAATAGAGTAATGACTGGCACATACTAAGCACCACATTTGCATGTGCTATTGTCGTGATTATTATTTTAAATGTAGAATCTGGACATCTAGGACCCAGAACCCATGGCAGATCTATTTAGACTCTTGCTACTCAACATTTGGTTCACTGACCAGAAGCATCAGTATCACCTGGGAGCTTGTTAGAACTGCAGGCTTAGCCCCAGTCCTGGATGGACTGAATCAGAATCTGCATTTAACAAGAGCCCAGGTGAGCAGGGAGCTCACTGAAGTTCGTGCAGCACAGCTTCAGAGCACACAGGGGGCCACACCCAGAAACTCGGCCAGAGATTGGGCTATTTTGGGGAAGGAGGCCAAGAGGGGTTAGGTTGCCCTGCCTTGGGCTCCCCATAGCCTGGAAAGCCCTCAGACCCTTGTCAGAGCGGGCATTTTACGTGGGGACACGGCCAGGGTCCTTACACGTTGGTGTGCTGGGGCGGCCTGGTGCCACCCCCCCAGAGTCCAGGAGATGCCGTGAGGTCAAGTGGTGGTTTGCTGGAGTACCAGGTGCTCAGGAGGTGGTCCACCTTCTCCTGACTGAAGACTGCGCACAGGTGGGCTTTCCCGCTTCCACCGTCCAGGCCCTCGCAGGGCTCGGGCACCTCAGGGGTCTCCGGACCCCTGCCCGCGGAGGTCCGGCGCAGCCCCCGTGCCCACGTCTCGCTCTGCATGCTGGTGAGGAAGTGCAGCACGCAGCGGTGTGCGAAGTCCCGCGCGTGCTCACAGCATGTCTCGTCGAAGAGCTTCTGCTCCAGGTCCACGTAGTTGCTCCAGTATCTGCGCTGCATGAGGACTGTCTGGTCGAAGCAGGGCCTCAAACAGCAGGCCAGGAAGGCCACGATGATCAGCAGCAGGGTGATACCCCAGCTGATGGCCTGGAGGGTGGGGAGCACGAGGTTGAGTGTGGCGGGACACAGATATTGTACAATGTGGCAAGGATGTTCCAAAGTCTCTCCCTTTGTTTATCCCTTGCATCCTTTTTCAAATCTATCCATCTTCCCACTAAGTCATCCATCCTACCAACCACCTCCATCTGTCCTTCCTCCCATTTATTCTTTCATCCTTGCATCCATTTTCTATCCAACGATCTCTCCACCCATCTAGGCATCCATCCTCTTATCTGACTGTATATCTACCGTCTTTCTATCCAGCCATCCTCTCAACCATGCTTCCATCTGTCCATCACCCTCCTTCCTATCCAGCCATCTAGCCTCCCATCCATTCATGTTCCCATACTCTCATCCTTCCTTCCTTTTATCTATCCAACCATCCATCCACCTGCCATTCATCCCTCCAACTTTCCTCCTGAAGGGAACAAGAATGTGTCACCCCAAAATATGCCTCTTTGACATAAAAATTATTTTGAGCTGAAGACAATTAAGAAGGAGCAACCTCCCCTTCTGCCTGAAGGCAGGATATAAATTCCCCTTTTGCTGGAGATAGACTCTCATCAGCCCAGAGACGGCAGCAGAGGAATCCGCAAACAAACCTCACTCCATTAGTTTCCTCCCATGTATTTATTTACCTTCCCACAGTTTCCACCCTTGGAAGCGTAAAACTGCTTTCCCTCGTGCTGACATTTCTCTACAATGGTATTGCTCATGGCTGAAGATGCTATATAAGCACACTTCTAAGCCACCGCTTCGAGTTACTCTTTCTTCTTTTTTTTTTTTTGAGTTATTCTTTGTTTTAGGTTTCTCCTGCATGATGATCACTGCACACAATAATAAACTGTTTTCCTCCTGTTAATCTTTTTATTAGTCTCAGCTGAAAACCTAAGGTGGGTGGAGGTCAAGTTTTGCCTCCTTTGCACTCCCATCCATTCATCTGTCCATCCACCCATCATCTTTCATCTTTTTATTCGGTTCTTCATCCGTGCTTATATATGTGTATCCATCCCATCTATGCATCCATCCATCCTATATTTTGGGGAAGACACTGAGGACTCAGTCTTTGCTCTCACAGAGCTCACACTTTAGTGGAAGATACAATGAAATAGGTGATGAATGGCTAAGCACCACGTTGAGGGATGTATCGGGGGTTGTGGGAAATCAGAGGGGGGATACCCAACCCGAACTTGAGGGCTCAGATGACAGTGCGGTTGAGGCTGAGACCTGAAGGATGGCAATAGATTACAGGATGTGAACAGGGAATACTGTTCCAGGCCAAGTGTGAGGAGAAGCTGGAAGCAATTCTCTGAGGCTGGAGACCCCACCTGGCCAGCCCCTCGCCCTCCCCTCTGCCCAGCCAAAGGTATTGAGACATTGCTTAAGACCCGAGCAACCGTGTGGACCTGGAGCAGAGATATCACTCCTCTGAACCACAAAGACATATTTGAATCCTTATCATTTGCAGATGTGGTTGACAAGGTCTTACAAGGTCCCCCCTCCCCCCACTCCAAATCTAAAATACCTGTGCGAGTATTTTACCTGGGGGGCATTTAGTGTGACTGGTCATTTACAGCTGAGTCAGGACTTAAACCCTGGTCTGACTGAGAATTCTGCACTCTTTCCAGGGAACTAGTGAGAGCCTACAGTGTTTACATCCGTAGGAGACATCAAGGTGAGGAGACCAGACCTCCATTTACCTTGCAGGAGAAACTGAGGCCCAGAGGGGGAGGGACATGGCCAAGGTCACAGTCTGAAGCAGAACCAAGTGTATCCTGAGCACAGGACAGGGCCTGCATCTGCCACAAGCCTGTCCTGGCACCCCAAAGGGCTGGGTTGTAGCTCCAGTGATGTTCTGCATGTGGTGGGTTCATGTAAACACTTTTTGGGAGGACACAGCCCAGGCTGGGCTCTCGGAGTGGTGGAGGTGGAATCTGGAGCCTGGGCTGGGGATGGGGCTGGGGTTTGTCCCCAGGATGATGGATTCTGTGCCCTGTGGGGAGCCGGACATCTGGGGAACCTGCATTGTAGGTGGATGAGAGGGTTTGGAGGAATGGCACTTCAGATCCCTTCCCGGCCTCTTACAAACTGTGACTTTGGCCTTGTGAACTAAAGTCTCAGAGCCTCAGTTTCCTCATCTGCAAAATGGGATGATCATGATTGCATCCACCTCATAGGACTGTTTTGAGAATTAAATGAAGTAATGCATATGAAATGCTTAGCACAGTGCCTGACACATATGTGCTTAATAAATGGTAATTAGTATATTTCTGAGGCGTGAGCAGAATGTGTGTATGGGGTGGTGGCAGGGTAGAGCAGTCTATCTCCAGTGTTTTCCTGCCATCCAACTTGGGGGTGAGCCTAGTGGACTCCCGGAGGGTATGAGCACCTGGCATCCACCCTGGGGTGAGTCCGCATTGATGGCGGAGTCCCCACTTCCTAAGGCCCAACACTGTCCTGTGTGTGAGTCACACTCCTCATCCCCCCAGGGACCACATGCTCCATGGTTGTGCCTGCAGCATTGGGAGGGGCCTCAGGAAACCATTTGTACCTCCAGGCCCCTCGGAACCAATGCAGGGCACTTCCCAGGGCTGGGAGAGGACCACCCGAATTACCTGTGACAGGCACCGCAGGTAGCGAGACACTGCCTTCGGAGCGGGGCTGTCCCTGACCAGCTCATCTTCCTCGCAGGGCACCTTGGCCAGAAAGAGCTGCACCTGGCTGGGGGTCATGTTGGCAAAGTCTAGAAACTTGTCGGGGTCCACGGAGCTGCTGAAGGCACACACGAAGCACTTCCCATCGAGGAGAGCCAGCAGGATCCAGACAAGGGGGCGGCCAGTGCTCTCTGCAGCACAGAGAACAGGGAGCAGAGGAAGGAAGGGGGCACAAAGGGCAGCCGGAATTCAGCTGCAGCAGGAAGGCTACAGAGGAGATGCAAGGACGGACGTCCCAGGAGGGGGGATATCCCAGGTGTGATTGCACCAAAGGAAGGGCTACAGGTCCGAGCAGTAGAGGATAGGGAAGAAGCAGGGCTGAGGGTCCCGGGAGTCTCAGGACTGGAACACGGGGGAGCTGGTATTCTTCCTGCTCTAGCTTTGTAGCTGACTCTGTTGGTGCCCTGTCCCGGCCAGAAGCATCTAGAGCTTTGGTGGGGAGTTCCTATTCATATGGAGGGCCTGAGAGCTTCTGACCTCAACCACCTGCATGGCTCTGCCTGGAACTTTGGAGGAGTTTCTGCTCCCAGAGGCGCAGGCTGGAAGCGCTGGAGGGTTCATGTCCCCAAATCAACCTTCAATCCAAGAGGGCAGGGCCTGGTGGATAAGAACCCCAGCTTCCAGGACCCTCAGTGGGACGATTCTGAGGTGTGTTCTACCCACTTTCTTAGAGGGTCCCCAGAAGGACTGAGCCCGAGTTGCCTACATATTATCACGTTCTTCCCAGAGGCTGCTTTTGGGGGGACCCTAAACTAAGAGGGTCCCGTGGAATAACCCTCCCAGAGACAGCACCTTAAAACCTCTCTGCAGTGTCCGGGAGCCACCCTCTGACTGTCCCCAGGTGCCGCTTTTGACCCGCTCTGCCCGTCTAGTGGCCTGGATTTGGTGTTGCTCAAAGGACAGGAGCCCAGTGGAGCTGTACCCACTAGACCCCAGAGGAAAAGGTAAGGGCACACTTAGTGAATGTGACCCTCCCTGCGTGGCTGAATCACAGGGAGCATGGAACCCCTGGGGAACATGAAACAGAGGTCGCTTGTGCACAGAATGCAGATGTTTTTAACTTGGGTTGTATACAAAACATAAGATGGTGTGTGCTGGCTGGGTGTGTGTGTGCATGGCCAACGAATTATATGTTGCAGGCAGGGGTGGATCCAGCATTTTCTATGGGGGCAATGTGGTTAGAAGGTGGAACCCAGGACTTGTTATGAAGATACATTACATACCCTTGAGAACACCTCAGTTGTCCACATCAAAGAATAGGGGAGAGGAGGAGATCGTGAGTGAGCGAAAACCCACCAAGCCCCTCCTGCCACTGCCCATGGATCTAGAGCACTTATTTTGTCTAAAACAGGGCAGCACTTGGGCTGTGTTTGAATCTGGCTTGGGCTGTGTTTGAATCTGAGCCTCTTTTTCGCTGTGGGAGTTCAGCCTAGTGAGTCACCCTCTCTGTGCCTCAGGTCCCCCATCCTTAAAAATGGGTCCAAGACAGGAGCCAACCCAGGGCCGAGGTGAGAATTCATAGGCGGTGCGCACACAGCACTGGGCACGGAGCTTGGCTCCCTGTGGGCCAGGGAGCATTATGAATCGCTAAACTCAATCAGCTGATCAGGGCACTGACCAGGTGCGAGGCTCTGAGGACACTGTGATACAGCAGGTGAGGTCCTTGCCCTCAGGGAGCTTGCAGGAGAGGGGATGCAGCCTTCAAGTCAATGATGCCTCTCGTACGGCAACACAGCTATGCACGTCATGGGATGGTCCTTCATGCATGTGGGGAGTTATAATCCATGGCCAGCATGACAGATGTGACCTGGATAATTCTTGGGAATCCTGTATCATTCATGCGTCTCCAGCACTGGGCATGGAAAGGTGACAGATGACAGGATCAGAAATATCTGTTTCTAGAGTGGAAACTGGCAGATCGGTCTCTGTGAACTGATGATGCCTTGGTATCATTTCCTAGGGGAAATGAGGGTGCCTATGGGGGTGGGTGGGGGAGTTCTGACAATACCCACGGGGGTCACTGGATTTTGGCAGCTGGTGGCGCCTGTGTGGCTGGGAAAGCCCCTGACAATGCCCACGGGGACCTGGGTGGCGAGGGACCGCACCTGCCGATGCCTGGGTCCTTCCTTCGGTGCCCCGCAGGCCGGCGCCTCTCCTCCACCATCACCACAGACTGCCGGTTGGCCAGGAGGCTGCAGAGGAAAAGGGCAGCTGGGAGCGCGAGCAGCTGGCCCAGGCCATAGAGGGCATTGTAGCGTTCCAGGCAGGGGCAGTTGAAGTCGAAGGAGGAGCACAGCTTGACTGTGACTGCGGCCAGCAGCAGACAGATGCCGTTCATCACCGACTCGGAGCTGGACTGGAAGTGCTGGAGGAGCGCACGGGATTTATCCATGGCCAGGCCTGGGTAGAGGGCAGCTGCGGGTGGCAGGCGGGGAGGTTTCAGCTGCCTTCCTGGTCAATGCCAGCCCCATTGGGGGCGAGCCTGGGGCTGCGGGAGGTTCTTCCTTGTCTTCCAAGGGCCTGAGGGGACAAGGAGGAGGCAGGGTCTAGCCAAGGAGTGTAGGGCAGAGCAGGCTCTCTCCACCAAGGTCCCCTGGCCAGCCCGACTGCCCCCCCGCTGCTACTCCCCTCCTCTCTGGGGGGATGAGTCACTGCTCTGTGACCAGCCAGCCCAAAGCACCTCTAGGCAGATGGTCCCCACCCCTCTTCAGGACTGGGATACTGACGCCTGACAGCTGCTGGGGCTTCCCATGGGGGGGACAGGCAAATCCTGGGTGTGGCAAGGCCACGGCGCCGATGCAGCCAATTACATTTTCTTGCTTTGGTTAAAAACATGACTTGGGGCTTCCCTGGTGGCGCAGTGGTTGAGAGTCTGCCTGCCAATGCAGGGGACACGGGTTCGTGTCCCGGTCCAGGAAGTGGGCCCGTGAGCCATGGCCACTGAGCCTGCGCGTCTGGAGCCTGTGCTCCGCAACGGGAGAGGCCACACAGTGAGAGGCCCGCGCACCGCAAAAAAAACCCCAAAAAACAAAAAACCCATGACTTGACTCAGCTGAGCCCAGGGAGATTTCACGTTGGCTTTCATGCTGGGAGGAACCACCAGGGGCGCCTTACCCTGCCCGAAGCCTTTCTGGAAGAGAAGTCTCTTGAGCAGAGTTTAAACCATGTTTCAGTGTTTGCCAGGGTCGTGGAACGGAAGGGCTTCCAGACAGAGAGTACTGTCTGGGCAAGGGCATGGAGGTGAGAAGCAGCCAGGTGTGGGTAGGCAGTTTGGGGTTGCTTGAATGTAGTGTCAGACAGGGGGTGTCGGGAGAGGGCACAGGGGGTGCTCACTGGGTGCCTGCACCCCTTTCCTCCACTTTATTCTGCTGCCCTTCAGCTCTGGCCACCGACTGGCCCAGGTCTCCCTAAAGTGCAGCTCCCACTACATCACTCTTACGCTCAAGTGTGACCAGGGCCCCCTCAGCTTCCTTAGCCTGGCGTTCAAGGCCCTCCTAACCATACCCAGACATGTCCTCCCATCTCCATGCCTCTGCTGATGCATCCTCCCCGCTGGAGAACCTGTGCCTCTTCCTCCCACCTGCTCTTCAAGAGGCAACTCCGATGCAGCTCTTTCACCGAGATGCCCCTGGTGACCTCAGCTCTGTGGGAACCTCTCCTCCCGCTTGGCCCTTGGAAAGGCCGCCCCAGCCTGCTGCTCCTCTCGCCCAGGTGTGGAGGTGGATCTCCCAGCTAGGACGGGACCTGCACCCACACCTGCCCGTCCCTGCAGCCTCCAGCAGGGTGCCAGGCAGACTGCAAGGGTGGCAGATGTTTGTTCCCTGTGACGTTGACACTCAGACCCCCTTTTTTCATCTCCAGCTCTGTCCTCTCTGCCCACTCCTTGACCTGTACCTGCCTCCCTGTCTGCTCCTAGGAGGTGAATGGAATGTAGGTCCTGCTCTTATCTCTGTCTCTCTCTTATCCTGTCCCTCTTTCCATCTCTAACTCTACCTTTCTCTATGTGTGTGACCCCCTGTGTCCCTCATTGTGTGTTTCTGAGTCTTTCTGTGTGTCCCTCTGTCTCTGTCCCTCTCTCTGTGCTGTGGCCTCTTCCTGTCTATCTTTCCCTCCTCTCACCTGCGGCCTGCCCTGTAGCACCCTTGTCTTACTGGCCCCCGGTCCTGACACTAGCAGCCTGGCTTGGGGAGAGGCGTGGAAGCAGCCACAGGAGCCCGGGCTCCGTTCCTGGGTCACAGATCCATGGGCTCGGCCTGGAGCCTGGGCTGGGGGTGGGTGAGGCTCAGGTTCCTCCTCAATCTCCATCCCTCTGGTTCCCTCACTCCTAGCCCAGCGCTACCCTTGAACAAAGGAAAACCTCAGGGACTGGATGGCCTTGACCCTACTGGCCCCTGCCCTGCTCCATCCAGCCGGGGCCAGTGGGCATGTGGGACTCCCAGGGATGCCATCAGCAATTCCTCAGACCCCACGTCCTCACAGTCATGAGTGCCACTCCCCACCCCCAGCCCTCTGGAGCATGTGAGGTAAGCATCCTTCTGAATCCTTTCTGGCTCAGAGGCCCAGCAGTGCCCTCCGGTCTCCACGGAGCCCGCCTGGACTGCAGCAGCTACACTGACCACCCCTCTTCCCGTATGCTCAAACAACTTTTAGAAAATGGAAATGTCGGCATCTTTTTTTTTCTGATTAAACACACCATTATGAAACATTGAAAAATATCTAATAAAAGTATATTATATAAAATATAATATACTAGATAAAATATCTAACATAAAATATATTATATATAATATATATTATATTTATATATATATAATATATTAGATAAAATATCTAATATAAAAGTATATATTGACTGCAACCCCCCAAGTCTCCATGTCACTGCATCAGTGTGTGTCCTTCCAGACTTGTTGCTGCCCACACGGGCATGTGCTGGCTGGCCTGCCTGGGAATCCTCGGGAGACAGCCAGAGATGCTGTGAGCAAAGCACTGGGTGCCCTGCTCGCCCAGGAGCCCTGGGGTTGCTGGGGGAGAGGCAGCTCAGGCTGCCTCTGGGACTCCCATCTGAGGCCAGTCTCTCTCTTCTCTTAACCTTCATGACACAGGGCTCACTGTGTTTCCGTTTCTCTGAGAGATGACAGCCCAGCAGCTTGAGGGACCCGTGGGACCTGCAAATGAATTTTGTGTAGATAACTTAGCCTGTATTTTAAGTCAGACCATCCCCAATGTGTCCTGCAACTTCCTAAGTATCTGTGCAGTCTCCACTTCCGATGAGGTAGCAACAGACGGAAACCCGGCTCTTATATCTTATTTGTATCTTACCCAGTCCATGTGCTAGTCCAGGTCCTGTGAAACAGGATGACCTGTGTGAGAGAAAGTGGGGAGGGAGAGGGAAAGGGCGGGAGCGCCATCAGAGGCAGCGAGTGTGGCTCTGCGGGGAGGAGAGGCGAGGGCATAATGGAGAAGCCCTTCAAGCCACTCCCTGTCCTGGGCTCCTAGCTAGCAGAGAACCACCAGCACCGGCACAGCCCTGGCGCGGGTCCTGGAGAGGCAGGCCGTTTGTCCGAGAGGTCACACAGCCTGGTGGGGACAGGCCCAGGAAGGATGTGCTCCTCCTCTGTGCCTTCCAGCCCTAGTCACCCTCTGGGCTGCTGCCAGGAAACGGAGCTGTCCCGCCCAAGACCCTGCGTCTCAACCCTGAACCCCAGCGCTGGGCACGGAGGGGAGAGAAATGGGCTGGGAGGGTCTGAGCACCCCTCTCTCCCATTCTACTCTCAGGGAGGGGAGGGTGGCCAAAGGGCCCCCAGTTGCTTCTAACCTAGGGATTTTTCCGGAAGAGAATGGACAGTGTTTCTGAGGGAACACTGCAGGGAACTGGGACAAGGTCTCTCCCGGGCCAGCCTGTTCACAGCTCCAACCTCTGGGAGGCGAGATGGCCCTGCCAGGTCAGCCTGGGTCTTGTGACTGCACTGGCCCTTGCTGTGTATTTACTGGAAAACATTCAAGGAAAGAAAAAGGCAAGAAGGAAGCCCACCACGACTTAAAGGGCTATTACCTCTTGGGGTGAGCAGGTGGCTTTACATTAAGCAAAAACTCTGTATTTTCTAAATTGCCTATTTTATAATAATGATTTTTAAAATTTCCCAGTAAAAATCATAAGTATTTTTACTGGAAAAACTCACAGTGATTAAGGGACAAGGCAAAAGGAAGGAAGATCGTCTTTTGTTGCCCAGAAGCCAGGCCTGATATACAAGGAGAGGCAGAAATCGAAGAAAAATAGGAGAAAGGTTTATGTTACTCATGTGTGTGGAAAGAATATTAACTTGTAGATCTGCTGCAGAACAATGCCTCAGATCAGATTTTCTCAACTCCCTACCCTACCTCGGGGCTCTGCAGCTGTGTTCTTCCAGATCTTTTCATTCTGGGAAAATTTTAAAAAATCAGATTTTCATTTTAATGCTGACTTAAATCTGTTTAGCAGTTTTAAACACGTGTTAACTTGCAATTGGAAGATCTTTATACAGCAAGTCTTTGGTTTCTTTTTTTCTCAACTTGGGGTCTTGGAGATATATTCTTGGGGGTCCTCCATATTTTTATTTCCTTCGAAAGGAATCTGGGTATTTGAGAGATGCTGGCTTGACTGTTCTTGGAATTCCTGTGACGGAGAGGGCTCCTTAGGACAGGGTGCCCCCTACTGGAGGAGTCAGTGTGTCCGATGTGTGTGTGTGTGTGTATGTGTGCGGTGAGTATGTGTGTGTGGTGAGTGTGTGTGTGTGGTGTGTAGCGTGTGTGTCCTCAGAAATACAGGCGTGGCTGTGTTTCTTCTTTCTGTATAGAGAATACACTCTCCCCTGGGGTTTCTTCAGAAGGAAGACACTGGATGCGTGTCCCACTTCTCTCTCAGGACTGGGAGGCTATTGTTGCCTCGCATCTCAGAGCTGTGGGGCCCTCTCTGTCCCTGACAGACCAGTCTCTCTTCTACCCAATGACAGAGACCTCTGTGGGGTCCAGGGGACAGGCCTTTCTGGTCTGCTCTGGCAGGCCTGGCTGAAAGCACCGTGGCGCTTCTGTGGGCTCCACTCTGGCGACTGTGTAGAGCCACATGGCCTCTGAGGGACTGAAAGGAGAATGAAAATAAAGGGGGGACTCGGACACATGGCATTAGAACAACTGGCTAATCATTCGGGAAAATGTAGGTGAATTTCTTCACAATCAGAGGCTAGGGAAGGCCTTTGTTATCAGAGCACAGAATTCAGTAGCTGTGAAGAAGAAGATGGATGAAGTGGGCCTCATAACTTCTGTGGGCAAAATGCCAATCAGCAAAGTGAAAATAACAAAAAACTGAAACAAGGCATTTTCCACACACAGCCACACAAAGCCCTATTTCCTTAATTT